TCCCTGCCTTCCCAGTGATGGGGGTTTGTTCTGGACTGAGCTCGCCCTCTGGAGAGCATGTGCATTGTTTTCTGCTGAAGTGGCTCATCAAATGAAGAAAACACATGTTCACCACTCCACCTTAATCTCCATAAAGTGTTTGGGACCTGAGCTGTGATCCAGAGGGTGAAGAGATTTGCCCAGAACAGTTCTCTGCCCTGAACAAAACCCAGAGCCTGCAAAACCCACAAAAACCCCACACCTCCAGCAGGCTCTGTGTTTTCACCATGGGCACTGTGGCCTGTGCCACCCTCACCGAGCCCAGTGCTCCGTGGAGCTGGCTCGCCACTACTCACAAAGGTATCCCCAGATGCCCTTGTGCTTCCCAAAGGGAACAGCACCATCCTGTGCTTGGAGAAAAATGAGAAAGCAGATGAAAGCATCTGGATGTCACCCAGGTGAAGCTGGGCTGGAGTCACGTACTCAACGAGTCGCGTTGGTTTTCCAGGGGTGCAAGGGAAGGCGGGGCTGGGGTCAGTACCTGAGTCTGCAGGGAGAGTGTCCCCTCCTGCCTCCATCCAGGGGCTCAGGCTGGAGCCACAGCATGGCAGTGACTTTAGTCAGCCAGGGCAGTGGCGTGGCAGTGACCTTGGTCAGCAGAGGAGCAGCGGGGGCAGTGAGAGAGCGCTCGGGGCACGGGTGTGCGAACGTGCTGTCCCTTCCAGCGCTGCAGGGACCGGGATGTCCTGTCCTGCAGCAGCGCCAGGGATGCCCCTCCTCGGGCCGGGCCTGGCAGGATGACCATTCCCAGTGTCCTGGCTCTTGGCACCGGTGCAGCTCGTTCATGCGTGGCCGTGGAGGCGCGGTGGCGGCTGCTGTGCCACTGTGACACGCAGAGCACGGGGGGTGCCACAGCAAAGTCACCCTCCTGTGGCTCAGGGCAGCTCCCCAGGCTGGTGGCAGGCAAGTCACTGATGGTGCTCCAGTGTTTGCCACACATTTTGAGCACCTGGGTTATGCCAGGGGCTATACCTTGATTTCCATGGGTCCTGCTCCCACCAGTGCTGTGGATCCCTCTCCTTGCTCCGTTCCTCTCCTGCCTGTCCCCAGGGCTGGAAATGGCACCCGGCCATCCTGCTGCCCAGGCTCTTCTCCAAGCCCCAGCCCAGCAGCTCCACGTGCTGTGTGCCCATTCCATACACTGCCCTTCGGATTTCCTGGCAGCTCCCACCTGTCCCACCCAGCTCCATAGATTAAAACCACTCAGGCAATAAATGTCCGAGCGTGGGCTGTAGCCCTGCTGCTGTGACGCTCCGTGCAGTGATGGGCTATTTCCAGCCTGTCCTGGGATCAGAGAGGTGATTCACTGCAGCAGGGATGCATGCTATGTGCTGCTTAGATGAAAACCAATCCTGCTCCAGACTTGTGCCCCTCTCCTGGGCACATGCTTGTCCTCTGCCACTGGGATCAGAAACTTGGCTGGCCTGAGCACGTGGAAAAGCTGAATGAATCCAGCCCTGTCCCAGGCAGAGCAGTGTAACCCAGCAGATCGGGTCAGGGCCACTGTTTCTGCCATCTCCAGATACGGGCTTGGGCAAATTCCCTAACTTATTTCCCAGTGGAGAAGTGGGAAGAATAGGGTGGCCTGCTGCATCCCAAGAGATGTCCCAGCCCCACATCTGGATCCTGTAGGTGTTGGGAAAGTCTGATTGCAGACTGGGATCAGCCAGGCCAGTGTTTGTGCCAGCAGCGTGGCCAGGATCCCAGCTCCAGCCATGCCTCTGCTCGAGGGGCTGTGATAGCCAGGTCCTGGGATAAAGATCAAAATGGAGGGGACAGGACTGTGACAGGGCACAGCAGGACAGGGAAAGACTCCAGTTTCAGTGCTGGGCTGCCTTTCCTGTGCTGCTGGAGCCATGGATGGGCTTGGAACCAGCCCAGAGTGAGCAGAGCTGATGCCTGAGCACAGATACAGGAGAGCCCTAAGCACATCCTCATTACAGTAACTTAGCAGGTGCAGTAAGGGAGGATGAGCCCAGGCCTGAGGCACCTGGGTTTGTTTAGCCAGGTGGAGGGCCAAGTGGCCCTGTGGGAGGGTGGCAGGGCTGGCTCCAGGGCTGTGGGGTGTGTGTGTCTCACTGGCTCGGCTCTGTGTCTTGCAGGATGAAGTGAAGCTCCCGTCTAAACTGAGCATCAGCAAGTCTCTAAAGGAGGGTGAAAAGCTAGAGAAGGAAGGTGAAGGTGAGGAGGTACCTGTGGGTGAGGACCATGCAGAGGAGGACCACATCCAGCTCTCCTCGGATGAGGAGGTAGAGATTGAGGAGATTATCGAAGAGTCACGGGCAGAGCGCATCAAAAGGAGCGGCATGAAGAGGGTGGATGACTTTAAGAAGGCATTCTCAAAGGAGAAGATGGAGAAGACTAAGCTAAAGACCAAGGAAAACCTGGAGAAGACCCGCCACAACTTGGAGAAGACCCGCCACAACCTGGAGAAAAGGATGAACAAACTGGGCACCAAGATTGTGACTAATGAAAGGAGGGAGAAGATGAAGACCTCTCGGGACAAGCTGAGGAAGTCTTTTACCCCCGACCACACCATTTATGCCAGGTCTAAGACAGCTGTCTACAAAGTGCCACCCTTCACTTTCCACGTCAAGAAAATAAGAGAGGGCGAGGTGGAGGTGAAAGCCACGGAGCTGGTGGAGGTTGGTGGAGAGGAGGGAGAAAACTCAGATCTGATGCGAGGGGAGAGCCCCGAGATGCACACGCTGCTGGAGATCACGGAGGAGACCGACGCGGTACTGGTGGACAAGAGCGACAGCGAGTAGGACAGGCTGCAGCACGGAAGGGTTGTGGACGACAGCTGAACATGTTATCACTCACATTTCGAGCTCTCCCTGCCCTGGGAGCCCCAGGGAAGTGTACACGATGCATCCTTCCTACCCTGCAGAGCCGACGCTGATCCCCTGCCTGCTTTGGACAAGGTGTATTTTATATTTTAGTTTTAGCACACAAACATTAGGAACACGGGATTGTTTTTCTTACACTGTTAAGTCACCCTCGGAGACCATTCCTGCTGCAGCCTTCTCACCCCACGCCTGAAGATGGACTTTGAGCGACAGGGCCCCTGCCCAGCTGGAGAGTGCTGAACCCAAGATAACGGCTGTACAGCTGGAAAGCTCAAGAGTCCTCCACAAGCTAAACCTGTTGTCAAGAAAGCTTCCTGCAAGCAGCCCGCCCACCCACAGACCCCCATGCCAGGTGCGTGGCCGCCCCGCAGGCAGGAAGAACCTCAACACCCACACTGGCTGCTCCTTCAGGGAGCAGAGCACAGGAGGGAAGAGCTGAGCTAGTCCTGTTGATAGGCAGAGCACGGCCCTCCCCAGCATCAGCTGACCCGGCAGCACCTGGGATGGCTTCCAAGGAAGCTGCCCTGCAGCTGGGGCTGCCCTGGGTGCCCACAGGGCATCCACCACCCAGCCAGGCCCTCTGCTGCTCCCTGCTGTGCCGAGGCGGCTGCTGCTCAGCCCCAGGAGCAGTGTGGGCTGCAGGCTCCCCTGCCCGGGTCACAGATCCAGCTGCCAGGGGCCCAGGGACTCTGGCGGGTCCCCAGCAGGGCAGGGAGCAGCACGGAGGTTGAGGTGCTGGATCTGCTCCCTCCACACTCACAGCAGAGGGGGCAGGAGGCCCATGCTCATTGCCTGGGGAGGGGGGACACGCAGGGAGCGATGCCAGAGCAGCCACTGCTGACCACAAGTTGTTTCCAGAGGGAAACGGAATGTGCTGCTGCCACGTGAGGCTCTTGGCCATCAGAGAGTGGCCTTGACACCTGTCAGCACCGGACCTTGAGCATTTCCGAGCGTCTGTTCCCTCCGGGGGTCCTGGCACAGCTTGGGCTCATGCCCACGTCCTTCACTTTCCTCCCTGTTTCCTGCTTTCTGCAGCTTTCGCTCCATGCCCTGAGCGAGGGCAGCACACGGCAGCTCCAGGGCCCTCCTGGCCCCCTCGGCTCTCACACACGCAGCCCCCGCCCCACCAACCCCATCCTGCTCCCCCCGGCACGAGGCCAGCTGCTGCTCACATAACCCAATATATAAACTTGCTTTTCCCGTAAGAATTACTTTCCTTCATACTGTCCAGCGCACCCAGCCTGTCCCGGCCCCGGGGCCCTGCCACAGCCGCCCTCCCCGGGTGAGGCCGGTCCCGTGTGCTGGCTGCGGGCAGCCCTGGGACACCAGAGGCTCCCGGGGTGGGGGGCACTGGCTCTGGGCTGCCCGTGAGGCAGAGGGGGTGGCAGTTCCCAGTGCTGTGTGAGACCCCTGCCCTCGTGGAGCCTCCTGCGGGCCCACGGGCGGTTTTCTGGGGGGTTTTCTCTGGGCAGCAGGGCTAGGGCGGCAGGAGCCCTGGAGACCCCTGGCAGTGCCCGGGCAGCAGCGCAGCAATAAAGTCTCTTTTGTAAACCACCAGTGTGAGGCCTGTGCGTGGCGATGGGGAGGGGCTGCCACTAGGGACTGACCCCCATGGCCCCACATGGGACTGATCCCTAAGGCCCCACATGGGACTGATCCCTAAAGCCCCACATGGGATGGACCCCCCACTGCCCCACAAGGGATCAATCCCTACAGTCCCACCTGGGATCAATCCCCACAGCCCCACATGGGATCAATCCCCACTTCCCCACACGGGGGCGCTGCTGCGGGCCCTTTAAGAGGCGGCGGCGGCCGCCGCGGCGTGACGTCACGGCGCTGCCCGGAACCCGGCCGGGTTTCCCGCACGGCTGTTCCCGGCAGTCACTCATCCCCCCCCGCATCGCCCCTGCCCAGCACCGCCCCGCGGCGGGAGGCGGCGCCTTCCGGGAACGGCTGCGGTGGCAGCGCCCCCCCGCCGCGCGCCGTGACGCGCCGAGCGGTGAGCGCGCCGATTGGCCGCCGGGGCCGGCGGGAGGCGGGGCCGCGCCGCCATTGGCCACATGGCGGTGACGTCACCGCGAGGCGGGGCCCGGCAGCGGCAGCTCCGGTCCGTCAGCGCAGCCGGACGCGATCGCCGCCGGCACCGGGAGCACCGGGAGCCGCCGCCCCGCCCGCCCGCCGGGACCGCCGGTGAGCGCGGGGAGCGGGCGGGCAGGCGCTGCTCGGCCTCGGGAGCCGCTGTCTCCGGAGCCAGCCCGGCACCGGGGCCGCCCCGCGCGTGGGGGCCGGGCCGGGGCGCGGCGGAGCGGGGCGGGGTAACGCGGGTGGGGGGGGCCCGTTCCGGCTGCCCCGTCGCCGGAGGCCCGAGCCCTGGTGCGGAACGGGGTGGGTCCCTGAGAGAGAAAAGCGGCGAGGCCCACCCGGGTCCGGTGGGGCCGGGCGGGGGTGACACGGCCCCCGGCGCTTCGGGGTTGCGCTGCGGGACCGTGTCGTGTGCGGGGGGAGCAGCTGGGGGTCCCAGCGGGGAGGGTGGGCTGCCGTGGGCCTGGAACGGAGCGCTCCCTTGGCACCTGCAGGGGCTGGGAATGGCCCTTTCCACCCTGAAAGTGATCTCTGTCATCGTCGCTCCCCACTGGAGCCTCTTCTGCTGTTTCCTGTGGATCTGTTGGAGCTGCTGGAGCGGTGGTGGCAGAGGCCAGGAGGGGTGTGGGCTGGGTGTCTCGTGTCCCGTGGTGGATGGTGACAGCGTCACTCACAGCCCCGCAGAGCTGCAATGGGAACAGCCGTGTGGGATGGTGGGGGAACTCGGCACCGTGGCTGTGAGGTCGCCCAGAGCCGTCTCCCTCCCCCCTGTCACAAATCTTTTCGTTGTCGTGTTCCACCTCTTAAGGCTGGCTTTGAAATCGCTCCAGAGGAGTGGAGCCAAGCTCTCACAGCCTTTCCAAACTGGCCCTTGTGCTGCGGGAGCGACTGGCTGCTGTGTCGAACAGCTTTCCATCGGGCTGTTGGTTGTGTGGAAGCGGGGGCAGCGATGGGCTCTGTGAAGTGCTGTTGATGGCATCTGTCCTGACCCTGTGATGCTCCCACTGGCGATGACGTGACCTGTGCAACGCTGTCAGGGACTGAGCTTCATCCTGCTTATGTCACTGCAGGGGACACGGAGCCCACGGTCCTTCCAGGGCCTCTCCAGTGACTCCCCTGTATGTGTTGCCTCAGGGGTGGTTCCTTGTTGTGGGGGCACAGGTGAAGGGTGTTCCCAGGTGTGTCCCAAAAACAAGAAGGCAGGTGGAATGGGCAATGGCAGCGTCACTTCCAGGGCAGCCCTGCTGTGAGCGAGGCCGTCGGAGCACGCAGAGCTGTCCCGGGCTGCCCGTGGCACCGCAGAGCTCTTGTGCTCTGCCCTTGCAGCGAGATAAAGAAAGGTGAACTTTAGCTCTTGAGCTACTTTTAGCAGCTCCACTCTGAGCTCTGGGTAGCGTGCTTGCCCCTGGGCTTTCATCATGCCGTGCTCGGCCCTGGCCGTGTCGGCTGCTCCCTGGCTCCATTCCAAAGGCAGGGGAGAGGCAAACCGCAGGGATGGGCAAGCCCCGTGGAATCGGAAAGGCTCAACCCTCAGATCTCTACCCCAGGCAAGAGAAGCTTCCTGGCGGTGGGGCTGGCCAGGGAGAGGCTCCTGCGTGGGGTTCCGGGGCTGACAGGGTCAGAGCTTCCCTGGCACTGGCGACTGCTGCAGTGGGGAGCATCGCAGGGACACTTTCCCTCTGGGATTGTTGGTCCTGCTTCTGTGGGTGCTGGGAGGAGCTGGAGCTTGGTGCTGTGAGCTGGCTCGTCCTGCAGCTGTTTGTGGCAGTGGGAAGTGCCTGGTTTGTGTCCAAGTGCCGCTGCCGCGCAGCAGCCTGGGAGCTCTGCTCTTGACCCCTTGGTGCTCTGCTGATTGTGCAGCTCCAGCCCTGCCCCGAAAACACTAGGATTGTGGCTTTCTTGTGGAACGTCTGCGTGGATTAAGGGGTCCGGATGTGGCGCCTGGTTTGGCTGCTGCAACCTGACAGGGGAAAGTCTGTCTCTGCAAACCGCTCGGCACCAGGCGCGGCGGGGGCTGCCCGGGTGGCCGCCTCCTGTGCCGTGGGTGCTGTGGCTCCATCCATCGGCTCAGGGCTGGCAGGAGCTGGGCCGGGGCAGCAGCTGCTGCTGCCGTTTCCGGAGGGGCTGGTGCAGCCCCCCCTGCGCGGGGATGCCGGCGTGTGGTGCAATAGGAAACGAGGCTGGCTGAGCTCCCCGGCCAGGCTGGGCGCTCCCCACGGGGATGGTGGGTTTTCACTCTCGCCTGGCCTCTGCATTGGTTGGGTTTTCCCCTCAGCAGCAGCTCCCTCCGTTGCAGGAGTGGCCTCTGGGAATGAGTTAGGGAGCATTTGTTGTTTGCAGAATCTTCCATGGCCAGTGTCTCTCGTCCTGTTCACTCATTTCTCCATTGAAAACAAGTTTGGCTCACGTGGACTTCCCTGAGGATTGCACCAGAGGGTTGTGGTTCAAGGTTAATGTCTGGTGGAGGCTGCTCCTGCCTTTGAAGCTGTTCAGTGTTATGAAGTTCTTAAAACCTCTTTAACTCCATGTCAGGTGCCAGTGTCTGTCCCCTCCCTGTGCCTCAGCCTACAGAGGATGTTCCCCCTTTTTCTCCTCACACCCAGACAAATGGGGAAAGAGTCCCCTGTAGCAAACCCCAAGGAGAGCAGGACACGCTGCGATGCTGCGTCACTTGCTGCAGGGACCTTTGGAAAAAGCAAACACTCCTCTGCAGGGAAGTGACTCTGCCTTCACTTCCCGAGCGCAGCTGGAGTCCCCCTCGTTAGCGCTGATTTTCATCGATACAAGCCATGAACTCGAAAATTGCTCCTTCCTTGTTTCTGTAGTTTCCTGGCAGTCTCCGCCTTCCGCACTTACTGTAAGCTCCACAGCTGTTTCCCTGCCTCCTGGCAGGGCTGGCCAGGAGTGCCTGCGAGACCAGATTGCAGCTTCGTTCCTACCTGTCGCTGGTGAACTACCTGCCCGCACCGGCCCTCCTGGAGCCCCGTGCCCTGGGCTCGTGCCCTGCCCGTCTCTGGTTCTGACCCACTCAGCCCTCCCCAGAGGGGTCACAGCTGGGTCCTGGCAGGAGGGAGCCAGCTCTGAGCCACTGTGTGTGTGCCCATCCCAGCAGGTCTCCAGAGCTGGCCAGGATGGCGCAGTGGAACCAGCTGCAGCAGCTCGACACGCGGTACCTGGAGCAGCTCCACCAGCTCTACAGTGACAGCTTCCCCATGGAGCTCCGGCAGTTCCTGGCCCCGTGGATTGAGAGCCAGGACTGGTAAGGCTTTGTGAAACGCTGATCAGGGGACGTTTCTCGGGGCACCTGCCCGCAGTGGCAGCAGGGGCCTGGGCAGGCTGGAAGAGCTCTGCCACTTTCCCTGGGCTCCAGATGTGGCGGGACTGGCCTCTGTCCCTCCAAAGGGAGCGGGACTGTGCATGGAATGGGACTCTGCACCGTCTCAGACCCTGGACCAGAAACGATGGATGCGGCACTCAGTGCTCTGGTCTTGTTCACAAGGTGGTGATGGGCCAAAGGTTGGGCTCAGTGATCCCGGAGGACTTCTCCAACCTAAATGATTCTGTGATTCTGCAAATTGCACAGCAGGCACGAGCAGAGCCCCCCTGCCCTGTGCTGGGGCACCCAGGGCTCTCCCTCCCTCGCGCAGGGCGTATGCAGCCAGCAAGGAGTCCCACGCCACGCTGGTGTTCCACAACCTGCTGGGGGAGATTGACCAGCAGTACAGCCGCTTCCTGCAGGAGTCCAACGTCCTCTACCAGCACAACCTGCGCCGAATCAAGCAGTTCCTGCAGGTGAGGCGGGAAGTGCCAATTGGGCAGTGGAAGGTGCAGGGGGGAGCTGGTGGGAGTCCAGCAGTTTCCTTGGCACAGCTCGCCAGCTGCAGCCCTAAAGGCTGTGGAGGTCCCAGGGGTTGCCTCGTGCCTGCTAACCATGAGGGTTTGAACCTTTACAGAGCAGGTACTTGGAGAAGCCGATGGAAATCGCTCGCATCGTGGCTCGCTGCCTGTGGGAAGAGTCCCGACTCCTCCAGACTGCTGCCACTGCAGCCCAGGTCAGTGGCCAGGTATCCCAGGGCCTCCATCCAGATTCCTGACAGCCAGGATGCAGCCTGGGTGCTTTGGGTGGGTGCTGTGAGTTGGGTGCCCCCAGGGCTGACACTGAAGTGAGCAGCCAGCTGCCCTGGCATGTCTTAGGGACGGGGTGAAGACCCTGCAGAACCTCCTCAGGGTGGGAGGGAGCATCCCTGGGTCACAGCCCTGTCCTAATGCCCTCTTTGTCCCCTCTGCAGCAAGGGGGACAGGCAACACATCCAACAGCAGCTGTGGTGACGGAGAAGCAGCAGATGCTGGAGCAGCACCTGCAGGATGTCAGGAAGAGGGTGCAGGTACATGTCTGCCTGGACACCTGCTTTCCCCACCACGGTTCTTTGGTGCATTGAATGAATCCACATCTTTTGCCTTGCAGGATCTGGAGCAGAAGATGAAAGTGGTGGAGAATCTCCAGGATGACTTTGATTTTAACTACAAGACTTTGAAAAGCCAAGGAGGTAATGGCAGCTCATTAGCATCTGCAAACCACAGTGTGTTCCTGCAAGGAAGCTTGCTGGAGGGCATGTTCCAGCCTCAGCTCTCAGCAGGAAGGTGCTGGGGCGCAGGGCATTTACATAGCAATTGGAGAAACCTGGTTTTTTGTTTCTACCACTGATGCTGCCCCTGGGAGAGCTGAACCAGAGTTCTGCTGTGAGCACAACAGTGGCACGGGGAAGGAACGGTCCCCGTGGGTGTGGGAGAGCCACCGAGGTGCTTGGAGGCTGTGCCAGGTTCCTGCTTGGCTGTCAGGGGCTTTCAGGGTGCCTGCGCTTTGCCACGGGAGTGTTGTGTCTGTGTGTCACTTGGGAGGGTGGGAAGAGTCCATGTGTGTGTGTGTGTGTGTGTGTGTGTGTGTGTGGCTGAAGCTTCTCACCTCTGCACAGACATGCAGGATCTGAATGGCAACAACCAGTCGGTGACCCGTCAGAAGATGCAGCAGCTGGAGCAGATGCTGACGGCGCTGGACCAGATGCGCAGGGTACGTGGGGCAGCCAGCCCTCCAGATCCCCTCAGGTGCAGATCCTCCTTCTCCAGGGCTGGAATTTGGTGTTCCTGCACGGCCAGAACCAGGAGCAGCGCTGGAAGCACAGCCCTGGGCCAACTTCTCCCTTGCCTGTGAATGTGAAACTCGCAGATCTGGCGGGGGGGAAGTCGCAGGGTGTGCTGAAGGTTCTGCTTTCTCTCTTGGCAGGGCATAGTGAGCGAGCTGGCCGGGCTGCTGTCGGCCATGGAGTACGTGCAGAAGATGCTGGCGGATGAGGAACTGGCGGACTGGAAGAGGCGGCAGCAGATCGCCTGCATTGGTGGCCCACCCAATATCTGCCTGGACCGGCTCGAGAACTGGTGAGAGCTGGCTGGGGCTGTGTCTGTCCCAGAGCAGTGGCACTCACACACCTGCCAATGAAACAAGCTCTTTTCCTCTGGAAATATCCTTGCGAAATGGCTTCCAGAGCCTGCATGTGCCAGTGTAACCCACTGGTCAGGCTGAGCCTTGATGGTGGGCACCAGTGCTGGAATGGTGTTCTGGTGTCCCCAGCCACAGGCCTGGGGGATTCTGAGGCTGCTGAAAAGCTTCTGACCCTGGTGTCTCTGCAGAACTTGGGCATGTGCAGGTTTTGTTTGTAATGCATGGCCTAGAAAAACACGCTGGGCTGGGAGCCACAGACACTCTCACTTCTCAGCTGGTTTGGTCTCTGGCACGGAGAGCGTCCCCTTGCTTGGGAAGAGAAGGGCTCTGCGGGCTGGGACTGTGCAGGCTCAGCAGCCAGAGCGAGCATAGGTTCTCTCTTCTCTCCTAGGATAACCTCCCTTGCCGAATCGCAGCTACAGACCCGGCAGCAGATCAAGAAGTTGGAAGAACTCCAGCAGAAAGTGTCCTACAAGGGTGACCCGATTGTCCAGCACCGGCCCATGCTGGAGGAGCGGATTGTGGAGCTGTTCAGGAACCTGATGAAAAGGTGCCAAGGGCGAGTGGGGGGCCGTGGGCAGTCCCAGTCACGGCTGTGGGTGCAGGGTGGGCAGTGGGGTCTGACTGCAGTCCCTGTGCTGTTCCCCCCAGTGCTTTTGTTGTGGAGAGGCAGCCCTGCATGCCCATGCACCCCGACCGGCCCCTTGTCATCAAGACGGGAGTGCAGTTCACCACCAAAGTCAGGTGGGTCCCTGCCCCTGCAGGTGAGGGAGGGGAGCTGTGCAGGGAGGGTGGAGCGGGATCACTCCCCGCAGGAGATGCTTGTGCAGACACAGCCCCCAGCTTACCTGGGGAGTGCAGGTGCTGGGAGGGGGTGGATAGAAGAGGGATGGATCCCAGCAGGCTGGAGTGCTGCCCGTGTGACTCAGTGCAGAGCTGGCTGGGGCTCCACCGTGTTCCTGGAGGCAGCCGGGTTCTGGTAAATCCTGCTGGGGAGGTGGGCGGTGGAAGTGTCAGCGCATCCCTGGCCAGCTGCTGCTTAGCTGGGCTGTGTTCCCTGCCAGCCTTCATGGAGAGAGGCTGCTCTGACACTGGGCTCTGCTTTGAGCTTCCTCACCCTCTCCCAGCTGTGCCCCCGTTGCCTCCTTGGCATATGGCAGCCCCTGGCACAGAAAAGGTGTTTGTTCAGAGCCTGGTGTGGGCAGTCAGCAGCCCAAATGAGCTCCTCAGGGCGCTTAGTGGAGTATCAGCATCTCCCCTGCTCTGGGGACAGGTCTCAGGGCTGATTTGTCCCAGGTCTGTGTGCACATGGGCCCAGGGACACAAGAAGAGCTGGTCCCTTCTGCTGGCTGTCAGCTGTGCCTGTTGAACAGAGTGTGTCTGCATGAGCAGGATGTTCACACTCCCTGTCTGCTGACTCTTGCAGGTTATTGGTCAAGTTTCCAGAGCTGAACTATCAGCTGAAAATCAAAGTTTGCATTGACAAGTGAGTCCTGTGCCCCCTTCCCAGTGGCACTGGGTGGAATTACTGGGGTGGGACTTGTTTCTGCTGCCCTTGGGTCAGGCACCATCTCCACACCAAGGGCTGGTGTGACCCCCAGTCAAAGGGGAGGGTGCAGAGTGGCAGTGGGTCCTGAGGGTTTGTCCCCATGTTGGGGGACAGCCTGGGGGGGCTCGTGGGAGTCTTGCTGGGATGCAGCCAGTGCTACACACCAGCTTGTCTGCTTGGAGTGGGAAGGCCACAGCCATGACCTGGTGTGTCTCTCCCCTTTCCCAGGGACTCCGGGGATGTTGCAGCACTTCGGGGGTAAGCGCAATGTTTGTTTTGGCCTTTTTTTTTCTCCTCATTTCTGCTTTTTTTCCTGGCAAACGTCTTACTGCACATTCACTCTGAGCGGGCCCTGCCAGCCACAGCCTGTCTTTCCTCTTCCCAGGTCCCGGAAGTTTAACATCCTGGGGACCAACACCAAAGTCATGAACATGGAAGAGTCGAACAACGGCAGCCTCTCTGCAGAGTTCAAGCACCTGGTGGGTACTGTGGGCTCCTGGGCTGCCCCTGTTGGGCCACGTGCTGTCAGTGCAGCTGCAGCCTGTGCCTCTCTCCACAGACCCTGCGGGAGCAGCGCTGCGGGAACGGAGGCAGAGCCAACTGCGACGTGAGTGTGTGTGGGGGGTTCTGATAGGGGCAGCTGAGCCCTGCCCTGAGCTGGGGGGTCTGCAGGCACCCACTGGCACGTTGGCAGCTGCCAGGCTGGCCCCAAGCAGCAGCGCTTGGCATGATGGCCACGCATCAGGCCAGGGTTGGGTGTCTCCTGGTGCTCCATGGTGTCTGTCCCCTTCTGCCCCAGGCCTCACTGATAGTCACCGAGGAGCTGCACCTCATCACCTTTGAGACAGAGGTGTATCACCAGGGGTTGAAGATCGACCTGGAGGTGAGACATGGGTCACTGCCTGTTGCTGCCGTGGGCCTGGGTGCAGAAGAGCTCTGGGAGATGTCCCAGCCCGTGCTCACATCCTCTCTTTGCAGACCCACTCGCTGCCTGTGGTGGTCATCTCCAACATTTGCCAGATGCCCAATGCCTGGGCGTCCATCCTGTGGTACAACATGCTGACCAACAACCCCAAGGTAGGGCTGGCGTGGGGAGGCAGCAGGCAGGTGTTGGGATGGGTGTGTCCCGGGGGCAGAGGGAAGCTGTGAGTTGGGAACGGGGCTGGGGCAGGACCTGGCCCTGTTCCTGCCCCGTATCCCACTTAGGGCCATGTGTTCCCTGGTGCAGAATGTGAACTTCTTCACCAAGCCGCCCATCGGGACCTGGGACCAGGTGGCAGAGGTGCTGAGCTGGCAGTTCTCCTCCACCACAAAGCGTGGCCTCAGCATCGAGCAGCTGACCACGCTGGCAGAAAAACTGCTGGGTAAGTGCTGGGTGGCCTGGCTTGGTATCCTACCCATCCCTGCTGTCCCTTGGGATGGCTGCCCACCTGTACATGCCATCCAGGAGCAAGGTCCTGTCTTTGGCAGAGAAGCTGTAATTTTCAGTTGCTTGGTTTTCTCCCAAACAACATGAACCTCAAGTTGCTCCCTGGAAAGGGTGTCTTTGGAAGAACAGCTCTATTTAAATGTTCGTGTTCCTGTTCTCTGCCAGGACCAGGTGTGAATTACTCCGGCTGTCAGATCACCTGGGCCAAGTTCTGCAAGGTAGAACTCCCTCTGCTCCCTGAACACCTTCCCTTGGCTGTTCTCTTCCTCTGAGCTCTGCTCACAGCCTCTCTGCCTTTTCCTCAGGAGAACATGGCTGGTAAAGGCTTCTCTTTCTGGGTCTGGCTGGATAACATCATTGACTTGGTGAAGAAGTACATCCTGGCGCTGTGGAATGAAGGGTGAGTGCCAGCCCAGAGTCCTTGGCTGGGCTGGGTGTTGGGAGGGTCCCATGGGTCCCATTCTGACGGTGTGGGGTGCCTTGTCCAAGTGCAGGTGGGCTCTCCTGGGGTGCTTTTTTGCTTGCTCAGAGAGAAACCCCACTAGGAATCCTTAAAATGCCAGTGGCCAGGCTGGGTCCTGCTGCTGAGCAGAGCTGGCAGGGCTCACATCCTGGAGGAGCTGCCCTGACGCACCTTTGCTCTTCTCGCTTCCTGCTGCCCAGGTACATCATGGGGTTCATCAGCAAGGAGCGGGAGAGAGCCATCCTGAGCACCAAGCCCCCGGGCACCTTCCTGCTGCGCTTCAGCGAGAGCAGCAAGGAAGGTGGCATCACCTTCACGTGGGTGGAGAAGGACATCAGCGGTATGAGCTCTCCCCTCGGCGCTTGGGGTGCCTGGCCGAGCGTTCTGGGCTCTTAAGGAGGCTTGGGACCCCCTGATAAGACGCTTGTCCTTTGTTCTTGTCGCAACAAACTCTCTGCCTGGGTTAACCCAGGCTGCCCTTTGCTGGTCTCTTGCCTTCTGGGTGTCCCTGCCCATGTGCTCCCACTGGGTACGGTTGTCTGTGGCACCGAACCCACCTGGCAGGCCCCAGTCCCCCACCCAGTCCTGTGTGTCTGGAAAGGCTGATCACAGCCTGAGGCCCATTTTGTCCCTGCTGCTCTGGGAGTGTCTGAGGGAGGCTCTGCCTTTTGCCCTCTGCCAAAATTCTCCTTCCGTGCGCAGGGAAGACACAGATCCAGTCGGTGGAACCTTACACCAAGCAGCAGCTCAACAACATGTCGTTCGCGGAGATCATCATGGGCTACAAAATCATGGATTCCACCAACATCCTGGTGTCCCCGCTGGTGTACCTGTACCCAGACATCCCCAAGGAGGAGGCGTTTGGGAAGTACTGCCGCTCTGAGAGCCAGGAGCACGCGGAAGCGACGGACTCAGGTAGTCGTTGACTTTCCGTGGCTCCTGTGTCACGGGGACAGCGCTGGAAGGGCTGTCACCACCCTGTGCCATCCCTGGAGGGCACAGCCACAGTGTGGAACCAGCTGTGGAGTCCTGTGGGGTGGGGGCAGAGGGTGGGCAGTGCCTCCAGGAGGAGGAGAATGGGGGTCATCCTTGAGCGGCTGCTGACGAGGCTGCTCCCTCCTTGCAGGCGCTGCTCCGTACCTGAAGACCAAGTTCATCTGTGTCACCCCGTGAGTGTTCCTGTGGGGTGTTTGTCAGTGCTTGGGGGGTGTTTGTGTGCTCAGCCTCCCTCAAGAAGGAGTTGCCTTCCTTCCCTCCTCTGCCTGGACTCTGCCCATGTGCTGTGGGCCTCCCAGCCCGGGGTGATGGCAGGGGCTGAGCCAGGCTCCGGCTGCTGCCCAAACCACAGCCCAGTTCTTCCCCTCTGGGGCCCCTTTCCTCTGGAGAGCTCTTTCCTCTGGAGGCCTCTGGCATGGCCCAGCGGCCCCTCAGTGGGGAGAGGGGGTGTGGGAGAGCTCTGGCCAGGCCCTGACTCTGGAGGTTTTTCTGTGCTTTTCCTCCCTCGGACAGCACCTCTTTCAGCAACACCATCGACCTGCCCATGTCCCCGCGCACCCTGGACTCACTCATGCAGTTCGGCAACAGCAGCGAGGGCGCGGAGGGCAACTCAGGAGGGCAGTTTGGTGAGTCGGGGGGGGCTCCAGGGGGGCCCGGCCGCGGCCACGCGCGGGCCCCGTAACCCCAGCTGTGTCTGCCCGCAGAGTCGCTGACCTTCGACATGGAGCTGACCCCGGAGTGTGCGTCCTCGCCCATGTGAGGGGCTGCGCTGGCGCGCGGGGCCTCCCCGGGCTCGGCCTTCCCACCTCCAGAGAGCTCTCCCGGATTTGTCCCGCTCGGCCGTGGCTGCTCCGAGCCTGTTCCTCGAGAGCGGCTGGGGGCCGGGTCTGCGCCCCCAGTTCCTTGCCTGCCCCAACGGAGCAGCCCCTCTCTGGGGTGGTGCCACTCGTCTCTGGGGGAGGGGGATGAACCTCTTTCTATTTCCTTCCATAACGGTTTTTTATTATTTTTGCTCATTCAAGTGCCTATTTCCCTCCAATTGCAGCTGCAGTTCCCACAAATGCTTCCGCAGCTCAGGGCTGGAAGCTGCCACCCTGACTGCCAGAATCCCAAACCCTCAAGACTTTATAAAGAGCCCGGGTTTGCAGAGGGGATCAGCTGTGCAGTGGGTTCTGCCCTCCTGCTGCCCAGCACCTCCCAGAGCTTGCAGGGTTCAGGGGGGTCTCCCCTGTGCCTCCCCCTGCCCTGGTTTTGGCCAGCAGGACCAGCACAGGGCTCAGAGCTGAAGGTGGATTTGTCCAGGCACTCCTGCCCTACTAGGACACTGCTCCTGCTGGACTCAGCCTGGGCTTTGCTGGGAGCAGGGAGGTTCAGGAGCTGCTTGTGCTTGTCACCAGATTTCTACTGTGGGCACAGGGCACTGGCCAGCACCAGCAGCCCTGGGCTCCTGCTGGGATGGCCGGTGTCCCTGTAGGGCAGAGGCTGCCTGGGGCACGGCTGTGCTGCCTCCCAGCACTGGTGCCTACATGTGAGCAGCATTTGCATCTGGGGCCTGTTCTGGGACCTGGGTGTAACCACCGGGGCTGCCCTGGCCATGGGTGCCCTGTGGCCAGGCTGGGGCTGGAAGCGTGGCCAGCAGTGGGGTGCCTGGCCTGTCCCTTTCCCTCTGGCTTGTGCGGGGCCAGGCATGGGATCTGCAGCTTCCTGGGGGCTTCACGTGGCATTTCTGTTGGAGGTTTGGCCCTCACATAAAGTGGCAGGGGGCAAGAGTTGAAGGGAGCAGATGGACATGGGGAGAGGAACGTGCCCCAGGGCAGCGTGTGATGGAGACGTGGGTGTTGTGAAGAGCAGGTGTCCTGGCTTTTGGGGCTCAGTGCTTGTGGTCTTGCATTTACCACAGTTGAGGGGAGCCTTCCTGCCCTATCCATGCAGTGGACACACGGACACAGATGAGCAGTGGAGGGGAAGGGGAGGCAGTGGGAGAACTGCCCTCCCCTAGTTGTGTCACAGCCAGCAGGCACGAAGCCAAAGGACAGGGAGGAGAATTCTGGGGCTGTGGGGTCTAGGCCAGCCCCCCCCAAACTGTGGGAGCAGGATGGGGGGGTCCATGGCTGGCCCTAGGGATGCTCAGAGGGCAGGAGGGCCCTTTGCCCCTGTGCTCACCGTAGCTGCCTCCAGCCGCAGTCCCTGGAGCCCAGGGCAGCATCCGATACTGTAAAAAAAAATTATTTTTTTTGTATATTTTATTGCTGTATCTACAGGCTTTAACTTTCTCCAAAATAAAGGCCCTGAAGCGACGGACGTGCTGTGGGGTGTGAGCTCAGCTCTGCCTGCCTGACCCCGCTCCGGGAACTGGGGCCTCAGTGAGCGGAACGCAGGGCTGGTGCCGCGGCTGCGGTTTGCCCCGGCACGAACCAGCTGCGGTGCTGCCGGCACCTGCCCGGCACACGTGGGGCAGCTGCCCCTCATCGGGGCCCACAGGGGGATAAATGGCCGCACCTCAACCCCCGTGGCTGCTTTCTCTGCCCCAGAGCTGTGCCAGGGTCTCCTCTGCTCGCGTAAAGGAAACGCCGGTGCCGGCGTGGGAGGACGTGGCTGCGCTGGGGCCCTTTCTGGCTGCTCCCAGACTGGCTGGGGCTGTAGTGGGATCCCTGCCAGTGCCTCTGCCTTGTGGGCTCTGGGTGGAGGTGACTGGGCTAGAGTTGGGGACAGCAGGTCCCAGGCTCTGCAGGGCAAGGGGTGGGGAGGTGTGTGGGGCTGGGAGTAGGGCAGGTACCACTGCCATATGTTGCCCACAGAGCACCAACATCTCCACCCCTGTGGATTCCACTCTAGCATTTGCACCCTGTGACCCTCTACAACACTTCAGAGCATGGGATGGTTCCAGGGTTTGTGTTCTGGTGAGGCCAAGAGGGAGAGATTATTGCTCTGTCAGAGCAGGATTAGGGGGATTGTTCGTGCAGGTCACGTGGAACCGGCTGTGCTGGGTTGTTCTGGGCGCTGGAGGTGCCCTGGAGCATCTTGTTTGGGTCTGAGCTGAGCACTGAGGCCATCACGTGTCCCTGCTACAGGAACCAGCCCCTTCAGGACCACCCATTTCACTGGCAAACCAAATCAGGGCTCTGCACAAACCCCACAAACCTGTTCCTGCTCCCAAGGCAGCTGCATGGCATCTTTGCCTGCTCCAAGTGGCACAGCCCAGGGTGCTGGGGAGGGGGCTACTCACAGGGGAACAAGGCCCAGCCCATCCTCAGGGCCCCCATTCTCCTGCTCTAGCAGATCCCAGCTCCCCTCTGCCAGCTGCAGGATGTGGTTGAAGATCAGTGAAGAATTTTTCTTACCCATCTGTAAACCTTGGGGTGGCCACAACCATTTGGTGTCGGGAACATGGTGTCCCGTCCAGCGCTCCTGCAGGTCTGGGATTGCTTATCTCCCTCTGCCCACTGCATCCCTCTTGGAAACCGCCTTGCTCGGCTGGGGCCGGCCCTGAGTATCTGGGATTAATGGGCTGCTGCTCCCATCTCGCGGTTCATTCTGTCAATGCTGCAGTTGGCAGCAGGCTGGGAACTGCTGGAGCCTGATGTGCAGCAGGAAAACGTGCCCAGGGAAGGTCTCTGTGCTGGGCTGGCGAGACCCCTGCAGCACCAGGGGCAAGGGACACTTGCCAACACCATGTCCCCCTCCTGCTGCCCCAGCCACCCCTTGGGGGTGGGGGCTGCAGCCCCTGCTTTCTGCCTGTGCCGGGGCACGGGGTTGTTTGTGGCTCTGAAAGGAGGTCACGGGGTGGCTTTGCTCCTTGCCCAGGGCTGCAGCACAGCAGGGAGGAGCAGGAACGGTGTCGGAGCCAAATATGCAAACGGATTAGGGGTTTCCATATGCAGATAATCCGCTTGGGACGCGGACACTTGCGTGTGACGGGCATGGGGCGGCCCCTTGGGGATGGGCGGCCACCTGGCAGGGCAGCCTTGTGCCACGGGCAGTCTGGAGTGGGCTCTCGGGCGGGGCCCCACTGGCCCCTGGGGTCCTGCTGGCCCCAGGCCTGTCCGGGCTGTAGAATTTTGACAGTTCTTTGGGAATAAACTGGCAGTCAGGGATTTCGGCTCAGCCCTGTTCCTGGGCCAAGCAACTGAACGAGCAGTGCTTGCAGTGTGGGGTGGAAGGCAAAGACTCCCGGGACTCAGCTGCCACCTGCCCTCTCCTCTGCCCTCCCAGGTGCTGGGCAGGGTCTTCCCACGGGGACATGTGTGGAGCACATGCCACCACTGCCCAAGCCAAGAGTCATCCCAGTCCCCGCTTCCAGCGCTCGTAACACAACAGTCAAACATTGCATCACGCTCAGACTTTAATATGCAGCAGAGCAGAGCCAAGCAGTGGCAGTTCCCACTGCCAGGTGTGGCAGAGGTTGAACTCAGAGCTCCAGCACAGCGTGGTCCCCCAAAAGCGGACCACCTGTGAGCCCCACTGGTGGCCATGCTGGAGGGACACAACCTGCCTGTTTCCCTGCAGGTATCCCATCCTGGCTCAGAGTGCAGCAGTGGGCTGTGGCAGCACCAGTGCTGAGGGCTCAGCTCTCCCCCAGTGCGCAGTGAAGGGCCCTGGTGCAGCTGCTGGACCGGCCTGACCCGTGGCAGCGTGTTTATGGCAAGAGCAGCTAGGACAGAGCGGTTACTGTGGCAACCTGAGCTCTGCAAGGGAGAGCAGGGAAGCAGGGGGAGAGCAGGGATGCACAGGGGTTGCGTGGGGATGTGGGGATGCGCCAGTGCAGGGTGGCAGGGCCAAGTGCTGCCCCAGCGCCCACGCTCCGGGTGCCTCCGGCCAGACCTGGCACTGGGTGTGGGGTATGAGACACTTGTATCCTCAGTCCCGGTTGGGCTGTGGGTGCTGCTGGCTCCCCTGTGCCCTCCCTGGGTGTAGCCAGAGTGATGTGGGGTTCTGGTGCCCACCCCAGACCCAGGTGGGCTGTTGCTGCCCCGGGTGTTCCAGTAGCGGAAATTGGATGTTTTTTTCCAAACTGGAGGAACTACGGAGGGAACAAAGAGCCTTTGCCCAGGCAATGGTGTTGCTTGGCTGCCAAGGCCGAGCTTTTGCTGGGTTGTTCCCAGCTGTCTCTGAGTGGCTGGAAGCAGAGGGTTTCCTGTGGAAATTCCTCCTCGCATAAAATGCCATTTCCCAGGTTTTTGCTGGAGCGGATCCTCCCCTCCTGCTGGCATGAGACACCGTGAGGGCCAAGCCTGTGCCAGTGACGAGCTTCCTGGGTGCCTGTGGGCTGGCTGAGCCCTGGCAGGGTCTGTGCTGCTGCCCTGTCCCTTCAGCTGCTGGCCCTGCTCTCGACAGGCTGCCCCTCTCACCAGCACCAGGGTTGGAACCCCATGGGGCCCATCTGGGCTGGTTCTCCAGTGGGACCTTTGTGGGAAAGCATGAAGCTGTGACTAATTTTGGGCTTCATCTGTTCTGCATTAGCTGGGCTGGATTATCACAAAAGGGTTTTGTGGCCTCAGCACAAACCTGGGAGTGTGAGGGACGCAAAACAGGGACAGGGTGGGGCTGGGGTCCTCCCTAAGGACTTCTGCTTCCCAATAAACTCCAGGGGATGGAGCTGAGGCTGTGTCCTGCCTGCAGGTGACGTGGTTGGGTGTTTGTGCCTTGTCTGAGCACTGAGCACTGTGCCCTGCACACCCCAGGAGCAGCAGGGACAGTTGTGGAAGAGCCTTGCCTACGGGAAGTGCCAGGAGGGCTTTGGGGCAGCATCCAGAAGCCTCAGGACCTCTCCAGAGCTGCCTAAATAAATGCTTCCACTCCTGAGAAATAATTAAGACCCTCAAAATGCCACTTAGAGAGGAAGGCTACTCTCCCTGCACTCCTTGCGCTCCTGCTCCAAATACAGAGGCAATTTTCTAGGAAATCACTTATGAAGCCCCAGGTTCCCTCTGTCCTTGGAATGCACAGAGTCACTCGGCATCCTGTTGAGCTCGTGAGGTGATCATGCATCC